GCATGTTAGAAAACACGGATCGTTGCGTCACACATGAAGTCCGACCCGGGATTATGTAACGAGGACGAGGACGAAGAAGAGAGGGGAGGAAGAGGGGGAGGAAGAGGGGAGGAGGGAGGAGGAGGAAGAGAGGGGGATGAAGAGGGGGAGGGGGGGAGGGGAGGGGAGCACGCGGGAGCTGAAGGGGCTCATGTGGAAAATGTCACAAGACTCAGAAGGTTCGGACAAAACAGTAAATATGCAGAGGTCAAAGGTCACAGAGAAAACAAAGGACCATGTTTACGAGAGTTTGTGTTTGTGATAAAAAAAAATACAAAAAAAAATGTAAAAAGACTGAAGAGAAGAGAATTTAAATACTGGAATGTTTAAATGGAATTTTAATGCAGTTTAATTCATTTGGAGACTAAACTGGGACTAAAACAGGACTAAAGTAGGACAATACAGGACTAAACTAAGACAAAACCAAGATTAAACCAGGACTGAACAGCACAAACCCAGGACTAAACCAGGTCTAAACTGGGACTAAACCAGGACTGAACCAGAACTAAACAAAGATTAAAACAAGATTAAACCAAGACTAAACCAGGACTAAAGTAGGACCAAAGCTGGACGAAAACAGGACTAAAAACAGGACTAAAGCAGGACAAAAACTGGACTAGATAAGATTAAACTAAGACTAAACCAGGACTAAACAAAGATTAAAACAAGATCAGGACTAAAGCTGGACTAAAAACTAAAGGACTAAAAACAAAAGGACTAAAACAAAGGACTAAACAAGGACTAAAACTAAAGCAGGAGGACTAAAACTGGACTAAACACTAAATCAAGACTCGACTGGGACTAAACCAGGACTAAACCAAAGAAGAAGAAACTAAACCTCGGCACTAAATTTGTAAAACAGGTTTAAAACTCGGGAAGCACCGGTCCAGACTTTTCCAGTACAAATTTCAACACTTCAGCTCGAAATATCTGATAAACAAATCCCAGAAACTGAAAACAGAAGGTATTTTATAAAAAAAAAAAAACTGATCCAAATGTGAAGCATAACAAATAAAGTTGTACAAAATAAGTGGAGCAGGATTTAGTGGATTTGGTAACAGGTCTTGTTTTTGACTTCAGCACAGCCTGTTATTCTTCAACACCTCAACACCTCAACACCCCACACTGACCCCCTCCTCTCTCCTTCCTCTTTCCTCTTTCCTCTCTCCCTCTCTCTCCGTCTTTCTCTTCTCTCTCTCTCTTTCTCTCTTCTCTCTCTCCGTCTCTTTCTCTCTCCGTCTCTTTCTCTCCGTCTCTTTCTCTCCGTCTCTCGGAGCAGAGGGTCTCGTTCTGGCAGAGCAGTTTGTTCCTCGAAAGCAACTCTAGAAACTTAGAAACACGATTACCCAACAGAACAGACAAACACCAGAGATTATATCACACTGAACCAGGACTAAACCAGGTCTAAACCAGGACTAAAACAGGACTAAAACAGGACTAAACCAGGACTAAAACCAGGACTAAAACAGGACTAAAACCAGGACTAAACCAGGACTAAACCAGGACTAAACCAGGACTAAACCAGGTCTAAAACAGGACTAAAACCAGGACTAAAACCAGGACTAAAACCAGGACTAAAACCAGGACTAAAACCAGGACTAAAACAGGTCTAAACCAGGACTAAACCAGGACTAAACCAGGACTAAACCAGGACTAAAACCAGGACTAAACCAGGACTAAAACCAGGACTAAAACCAGGACTAAACCAGGACTAAAACCAGGACTAAACCAGGACTAAACCAGGACTAAAACCAGGACTAAACCAGGACTAAACCAGGACTAAAACAGGACTGAATCAGGACTAAACCAGGACTGAACCAGGACTAAACCAGGACTAAACCAGGACTAAACCAGGACTAAACCAGGACTAAAACAGGACTGAAACCAGGACTAAACCAGGACTAAAACAGGACTAAAACAGGACTAAAACAGGACTGAACCAGGACTGAACCAGGACTGAACCAGGACTAAACCAGGACTAAACCAGGACTAAACCAGGACTAAACCAGGACTAAAACAGGACTAAAACAGGACTAAAACAGGACTAAACTAGGACTAAACCAGGACTGAAACAGGCCTAAAACAGGACTAAAACAGGACTGAACCAGGACTAAACCAGGTCTAAAACAGGACTGAACCAGGACTAAACCAGGACTAAAACAGGACTAAAACAGGACTGAACCAGGTCTAAAACCAGGTCTAAACCAGGACTGAACCAGGACTAAAACCAGGTCTAAACCAGGACTGAACCAGGACTAAAACCAGGTCTAAAACCAGGACTGAACCAGGACTAAAGCAGGACTAAAACTGGACTAAAGCAGGACAAAAGCAGGACTAGACTAAAGACTAAACCAGGACTGAACCAGGACTAAACCAAAGACTGAACCAGGACTGAACCAGGACTAAACCCAGGTCTAAAACTAGGTCTAAAACCAGGACTAAACCAGAGACTAAAGCAGGCCTATACTTGGACTAAACCAGGACTAAACCAAGACTAACCCAAGGACTAAACCAGGACTAAACCAAGACTAACCCAAGGACTAAACCAGGACTAAACCAGAGGACTAAACCAGGACTAAATCAGGGACTAAACCAGGACTAAATCAGGGACTAAACAGGGACTAAACCAGGACTAAATCAGGACTAAACCAGGTCTAAACAAAAAGCAAAACTGCTCCATCCAAGTACACAAAGAAATGAGAAAGAAAGACAGAAAAAAAAAAAAAGAGCGGTAAAGGAGCAATAAAGGAGCGGGTTAAGAGAAAGAAAGAAAGAAAGAAAGAAAGGAAAGGATGGAAGGAAGAAGAGAGAGAGAGAAAAGGAGCAGGTGGAAAGCGAGAAAGACAAATACAGAAAAGAGAAAAGAGAAGAGAAAGAGAGAAAGAAAGAAAGAAAGACAGACAGGTGCGAGACAGACGAGAGGAGCAGGTGGAGAGAAAGAAAAAAGAAAAGAGACGGGAGAAGAGAGAGAGAGAAAGGAAAGAAGAAGAAGAAAGGCGTGAGACGGAGACGAGAGGAGCAGGTGGAGAGCGAAAAAGAGAAACAAAAACGCGGGAAAGAGAAGAGAGAGAAAGAAAGAGACAAAGAAAGGATTGAGAGACGAACAGGTGGAGAGACGGAGAGAAAGAAAGAAGAGAAAGAAAGAGAGAGAAGAGAAAGAGTGAGTCTGCTCCTGTTGCTGTGAGGACAAAAACACAAAAGAACACGAGGCTCAAAGAAACAGAAACTATGGAGCAGATGGACTCAACCAGGACTAACCCAGAACTCGGCCAAAGCCGGGACTCAGCCGGGACTCAGCCGGGACTCAGCCGGGACTCAGCCGGGACTCAGCCGGACTCAGCCGGGACTCAGCCGACTCAGCCGGGACTAAGCCAGAACTCAACCGGGACTAACCCAGAACTCAGCCGGGACTAAGCCAGAACTCAACCGGGACTAAGCCAGAACTCAACCGGGACTAAGCCAGAACTCAACCGGGACTAAGCCAGAACTCAACCGGGACTAAGCCAGAACTCAACCGGGACTAAGCCAGAACTCAACCGGGACTAAGCCAGAACTCAACCGGGACTAAGCCAGGACTCAGCCGGGACTAAGCCAGGACTAAGCCGGGACTAAGCCAGGACTAAGCCGGGACTAACCCAGGACTAAGCCGGGACTAACCCAGAACTCAACCGGGACTAACCCAGAACTCAACCGGGACTAACCCAGAACTCAGCCGGGACTAACCCAGAACTCAGCCGGGACTAACCCAGAACTCAGCCGGGACTAACCCAGAACTCAACCGGGACTAACCCAGAACTCAACCGGGACTAACCCAGAACTCAACCAGGACTAACCCAGAACTCAACCAGGACTCAACCAGGACTAAGCCAGGACTCAACCAGGACTAAGCCGGGACTAAACCAGGACTAAGCCGGGACTAAGCCAGGACTCAACCGGGACTAACCCAGAACTCAACCGGGACTAACCCAGAACTCAGCCGGGACTAACCCAGAACTCAGCCGGGACTAACCCAGAACTCAGCCGGGACTAACCCAGAACTCAGCCGGGACTAACCCAGAACTCAGCCGGGACTAAACCGGGACTAGCCCAGAACTTAGCCCAGGACTCAGCCAGGACTCAGCCAGGACTCAGCCAGGACTCAGCCAGGACTAAGACCGGACTAAGACCGGACTAAGACCGGACTAAGACCGGACTAAGACCGGACTAAGACCGGACTAAGACCGGACTAAGACCGGACTAAGACCGGACTCAGCCGGGACTAAGCCGGGACTAAGCCGGGACTAAGCCGGGACTAAGCCGGGACTAAGCCGGGACTAAGCCGGGACTAAGCCGGGACTAACCCAGAACTCAAACAAGACTATCCAAGAACCAGGACTAACCCAGAACTCAACCAGGACTATCCAAGAACCAGGACTAACCCAGACCTCAAACAAGACTATCCAAGAACCAGGACTAACCCAGACCTCAACCAGGACTATCCAAGAACCAGGACTAACCCAGAACTCAACCAGGACTATCCAGTTTCTTTAGTTGACGACAGCCAGACGTTTAAAGCCGTCAAACGCTTTTCTCCGTGTTATTTCTGTGTAATTCCTTTGTCTGGAATGTTCCACAGTGTGGCATTAAACCTTTCTTTCTCCGTGGACACCAAACCGCACCAAGTTACAGGTCAGATCTGTGGGGAGGCGACGCCGCTCACAGTCAGAATGTTTGGTTTTCGAGGTGTTTTTGAGCGATAAAACCACCTGTGATTAAGTACATGTAAAGTAGAGCTGTTTAATGTCACACTGCGGAACATTCCAGGCAGTGTTCAGTGACGTATCCATAGAAACAAGCAGGTTACAGAACTCCAAACAAAAAGTAGCACAGTTGTTTTATTGAGAGCTTCATGTCCCGGTGCCTTCAGTGGAACAGTCCCAGTTCCACATGAGTCATGAGTTTATCGAGCGATAAGGACGTACCTGAACATCGTAAAGAGCCACGATGTTTTCATGCTGCAGCTCCTGGAACAAAAACAAACACAACACGTCAGCAAAAACAATCGGACGCACACAGGACCACAGTGTGACTCATACACACTTCTGTCTGATAAGCAGAAGCACCAGTCTGATGGTTTTTACAGTTCATGTCGGGATCAGCAGTTCGGATTAAAAATAAAAGTATCTGTGTTTTTTAATTTTTACTCCAAAAATACAACTGGACCAGATTTTAGTTTTTTCGTTTTTTGATCTCGCTCTGCTGACTGAATTTACTGAATGTCGGACGTCGATAAATCTGAGTCAGTTTTCCCGACATCCGTTGTAAATGTGTTTGATTGTTACAGTTGGGAAAGATGGAGCCCGAAAAACTTTAATGTTTATTTTGTTCAATTATGAAAACCACAAGCGCCATTTCAGCATAAACTACTCCAGTACTCAGAAAGTAGTAATGAGAACTGTCTTTTGGTCATTTTGATGTATTAAGGTGTGTGTGTGTGTGTGTGTGTGTGTGTGTGTGTGTGTGTGTGTGTGTGTGTGTGTGTGTGTGTGTGTGTGTGTGTGTGTGTGTGTGTGTGTGTGTGTGTGTGTGTGTGTGTGTGTGTGTGTGTAGACCAGTGGCAGAGTTAACAATTTGGGGGCCCCATTTCGGGACCCTCACTATAATGCACTGTTTTGTTGATATATTATATTAATTTTTTTTTTTTCCCCCATTGTTCTTGAGACACACACGTCTCTTTCTGAATTATGTTGGATTAGAAACTTGTCTTATTATTTCGGTGTCCGACTGGCCCACACCAAACCAGAACTGATGAAAGTTGTTTTGTTTTGTTTTTTTTGCTCGTACAATTCCACTTTTGTTTACATCCATCACATATGATAATGATAATGATTATGATGATTATGATTATGATTATTACACTGTGATTATGTTCAGATCAGGGTCACGCTGACTCATCCATTTTAACATGAAAGGATGAATGTTTTGACAGTTAAAACAGATTAGACAGTCAGACTCTATTGTGATGATGTTTTCTTGTTTAAAACTAAACCCCTCCCAGTTACTGTAAAGTCATATTGAGAGAAAATCTAATTGTTCTGAGGCGTCGTCCATTAGTGACACTGAGGGCAGCTGGTTGGAGCTGCCTACTGTTCACTGCCTCTGGTGCAGACAAAGTGTCTCCTAAAAGCTTAGAACAACCTGAGGTAGTTCACGTTATTGTGAGCTCCTGCTAATAAATAGAGTCTGTTTGCTAAAGGCAAAGGACAAATTCAATTTGTCAACTGGACAAATCTTTATTTGGGTCAAAAACAAACAAATTGAATTTGTCTTTTGCTGTGGATTCTACCTGGACGACTGAGGGACTGAACACACTTCTGTCAGCTGATGTCGGCCGTCAGCTACTTAGTTCTGGCAGTTTGACAATTACATATTTAGAAAAAAACTTCTGTCTACTGTCGAATGATGTGAAAGAAAGTGTAAAGGTCACCACAAAGTTTTTAGAGACACTTTCTCTACACAAACACAACTTAACAGAGTCAGTTCTCCTTGTTTACTGTGGCGCCGACATTTTTACTGTGACATAAATCCAACCGACTCTACACCAAACCAGCCCCAGTTTGTGTTCAGAACCCGATTTGATTCGTTCCACTGCACTTTCTCGAGGTGGAGGTCGGTTTGCAGCGTGAGATTCTGGTTCAAGGTTGGGAATTTGGGAGTTTTTTCATTTCTTTCCACAAAGATCTTTAAAATGTGAGAAAACTGGACTTTGGGAACACAGAGCCGCGGGGACACTCCCTGCAGATGTTAATTCTAACGGTCTCACCTTGAGGATCTTGATCTCTTTGCCGAGGAGGATCTGGGACTTGGACAGGTTTTTCTTATTGATGCTTTTGATGGCCACCTCCCAGTCGGTTTTCTGCACAAAAACAACACAAACAAAACATTATTACACTCAAAAATTAGTATTTAAGTGACAAAAAATACTGAGTAACCCTCCCGTTTCCCCGTGTGTCAGACGCCCTTTTTTCTAAACTGAAACGCACTCGGTTTCACAGAGTTTTCATTTCTGGGTCAGTCCGTATGAAATCAGCAGTTTTCAAGGAATCTCCCCTGAGTCATCTCACATTTGGCTGAAAAAATGTCCAGACATTTCTAAACTTACCAAATGAAAGGATCTAAAACTTTAGCTCAATCCCTTCAGTCATTATGGCCTGTTCAAATTTTGGAAACCTTAATTTACAAGCATTTTTGAGAGACCATAACTTTAAAAACATTGAAGCAGGAAGTTGAACATTTGTATAATTGTAGATTCTTGGTCATAGATTTTAAAGCTGTTGTCAAATATTGTGTATCTTAATTAAGGGGGGTGCTGTGGTTGCCAGTCTTTTTTTTTTTTTTTTCAATTTTTTTCAATTTTTGAGCTCCAAGCAGCTCCAAACAAACTGTTGAACCTGAATATTTGAGAGAATGAGCATTTCTGACAACAATCTCACACTATTCTGAGCTTTCAGGTGTATGACCAAACGTCCATTTTTTTCCCCGGACGTTTTTTGCATCCTGTCCTGGGCGTCCAGATTTTTATTTTTTTTCATAAAGTGATGCAAATGTCTGGGTTTTCATGATCTTTCATTGGGGCCATTAAACTGAGTGTCTCTCGTAGCGTCTGTGCATCAGAAGGAGCGAGACACAAACAGTCGGTCAGTCTGCAACATGTCGAAGCGCAAATGCGCATTTAACAATGACTTGGACAAAAAATTCCCCGTTTTCCGTCCCGGTCGAGACAGTTGGGAGGCCATGTGCACAGTTTGCGAGGTCAGAGTCCCTCAGTGTCGAGGCCCCAACTTGGGCTGGGCGATCTCGATATTTTAAATATATCGAGATATTTTTAAAACTCAATATGGATTCTGACATATCGTAAATATCGATATAATGCTTCTATTCAATTCTGATTTTGCCGTTTTGATTGTTTGTCTTCTCTGTGTGTCAATGCCTCCCTGGTTTTGCGGCTTGTGTCTCATTCACTGTCGCCGTGAACGCTGAAAGTCGGTGCCAGTGAAAAGCTTCAAGCTTCAACCACGAAAATTTTCCAGCATTTACAGACAAAACCATCAGCAGCACTTCCTCTGTCACAGAGAGAACACTCATATGAACACTGAGTCGTGTCCTTTAGTCCGAAAGACGCTGAACGCATTAGTGGCACAAGGAAAGTGCTGTTTATGCAAATTAGCCATGCAGTTTCAAGTTTAGTTTCTGTAAAATGTAAACACATTAAACACATTATAATGTCAAACGGGCTGATGTGGCTCTAGAGTCGTTATGTTTATTTGTTGTAAAGTTTAGTCATGTAAAGTTTATTTTTGCAGAAGATTTTAATGAATAATGTGCTGCAGTGTCACTTGTACAACAGTGTTTGGAAACGTCGGGTTTGATCTGCAGCGGATTGTGGGATTAAACCTCAGATCCTGACGCTGGTGAGGAACATGGATCTGTTAAAATAAAGAACCTCCTGAGTTTCTTCTGCTGAAGGAGCTCGTGGTTATTGTACTGTTCACAGAGTTAATGCAAAGATGAGCTTGTGTTGAGTTGTTTTATTTATGAACGAAAAGAAAAAAATAGGTTTTATTTCTTTTATTTTACAGTTAAATTATTATTTATGTAATCAGGGATTTTTTGTCATCTTAAATGTGGCAGAAACACTTTGTTCCTACATGAACTGTCGACCTTTTACACTTCAGGAAAAAAATACTTTGTGAATCCGTGTATCATTCGTTCATTCGTTTTTCAATATAAAACCAAAAATAAGAAAACAAAAAAACAACAGTTTTCTTCATTATTTGTCTCCAAAACCAAAATGAAAAAACAGATAATGATTCGTTTTTTCAGTTTTCGATTTTGTGTTTAAATGAAAAATGGAAAAAATGGATAACGTCCATTTCCCGTTTACGTGACTTCAGTGACTGTGATGTCGGACGTTTGCACTGCATACGGACTCAACCAGGACTGATCCAGGTCCGGGACCAGACCGGGACCAGACCGAGACTGCGATCAGAACTGAGACTGGGACCAGGCCGGGACCAGGCCGGGACCAGAGCCTCCGCGGGGACCAGAGCCTCAGCTTCAAGCTCCGGCCATGGGCTCTGAGTCTCCGGTATTTTTGGTTTTATATTGAAAAAAACGAATGAACAAGTGACACACGGATTATTGTGGAATTTGATATATTTGTTTTTGCAGTTTTCAGTATCAGGGGGTATTTTTCCTGTACAAACATCGAGATATATATCGTATATCGAGATATAACAAAAGATAATCGAGATAGAGTTTTTTTGCTCTATATCGCCCAGCCCCAGCCCAACCCTCACCCCGGGTTAGGTGTCCGGGTTTTCACAAACAGAAACAAGTCACCCTCTTCACTTTTACACTGTGAAGTCCTAAACACGGTCACAGAGTTTAAAGTTTAAACTAATAAAAACATCTACTGTTTATCTATTTCCTTCATTTCAAACGGAATTTCTGAAAATGAGCTCTTACGGGTCCATTCTTGGTGGAAGTACAAGGTTAAATTACTTCCTCCTTTTCTATCTTTCCTCTCTCCCTCCATCCCTCCTCTCTTCCTCTTTCTCTGTTTTCATGAAGGACAGTTGAAACTTTACCCATCCCAGTATCTCAGGGTCACGGGGCCGAGCGCAGAGGACGACAGAGCCGAGCTGCGCCAACTACACCAGCGACTAAATAAAGATCTGACGGACGTGTTTTCCCTTCGGCGTTGGAGGTGCGAGCGTCGGGGATAAAAACAACTTCCCGTGAGAGGAATCAGAGTCTCAAATCCACAGGGTCTAAAGTTAACTCCGACACGCCATGTTTACAAAGAAAGATCCATCAAAACAGTATGACGTCATGTAAAGACTTCGGTCCGGTCCCTGGTCTCTCTGGTCCCTCGAGGGTCTTAAGGCGTTTTCACATCACTAGTTTGAGTATTTGTTCGGCACCAGGCAATAAAATACTTTTTTTTGTATCATAGAACAAACAAAACTGGTCCCGCTGACGTTTCACCGATGTTTATCTTCTGGAAATACGCGTCACTTTTTCCTCACTAGTAAATGAGTTCATGTCGTTTTGTTTATATTTGTGACCTTCTTTATTTATCATGTGAATAAATATCGTGAAAAATATTGAGCCCAAATTCTCCCTTTGACCCTTATTCCTCTTATTTATCATGAGCCAAAAATAAGTTTTCATGTAATGTTTTGTTTGTGATTTAGTTCATAAATATATTTTGTTGCGTCCTTGGCTCAAGGTCTTAACTAGGGGTGTGCAAAAAATATTGAAATATCGATATTGTATTGTTTAATTTGATGATACAGTATCGATATTGTGGGCTGCTGTATCGATATATCACCAAGACTATTTTTTGGTGTATTTTACTCAATTATTTTGTTCCAGCTACAGTTTTGTTGCTTTTTCAGTGGAAGGAAACTCGTTTATGCGACACATTTGACATTTTCACTGTTTTGATGATTAAAATGGCTGCATTTCATATTAACTTTGCACAAGAAGTGGTTTAACAAACACTTTTAGTATCACAGTAATAATTTAGCATTTATTTTTATTGAACCGTATCGAATCGATTTGAAATATATTGTATTGAAACAAAAGTGCACTGTATCCAGGTATGTATCGTATCGGCAACTTCTTAATGATACCAGCCCTGGTCTTAACACATTCAATGAAAAAATCTTTGTGTTCAATTATACTTCAGTGATCTTTAAAGTGAAAGTGTTGTGTGTATTTATTCATCCTGTACAAACTGTTTAACTGTGTAAGTGTCGCCAAAGTCCCGGGGTTTCAAAATGTCGGCCCCGTTCAAGTCGACGGGCCGAGCTCAACGGCGCGTGATCCCAGATTCGCCTTTAGCCCGGCGAAGTTCTTCCGGTGACTCTGTACGGCGAGCCAAACTGTTCACATTTACGCACATGTTTAACAACTTATGCAAAAAAAACAGAAATGTGGCTGTTTGCTGCAGGTTTTCCAATCAGTAGGAGCAAGTAGAGGAGCTCTTGGAAAAAAGGATCAAAACTCAAACACAACAGACTCCAGGCAACTCCAAAACAGTAAAGAGTTAACACATCGTACGAGGAAAAATATAGTTAAAAGGCCTTTATTTGAATAATCAATTGAATTAATCAATTAAGCCCTGATGAAGACCAGTTAAGGTCGAAACATGTCGGCTTTGGCCATTCAAATAAAGGCCTTTTAACTAGATTTTTCCTCGTACGATGTGTTGTGGAGTTGCCTGGAGTCTGTTGTGTTTGACGTTTAACAACTTATTTGACGCATCAAATTGTTGTTATTTAACGCGTCGAATTATTCCACATATGACAATGATCTCCTCCCCCTGCTGAGTTTGTGTGTTTCATATTGTCTTCCTTTGACAACTGTATACGGACAATGAAATAATCAGTTGCTTAATGAGCGACAAACTGAAAAGATAAATACGTCGAGGTGCACGACCACCGTTTTAAATTTGACAGACGATTTACAAAGTGTTTAAGAGTAAAGAATGTGAACAGGGACATCGGTGTTGGACTGTTTTTGGTCAGTAATTGGCTGAAAGCACTTTAAAGCACTTTATTGTCTGGGAAAAACAGTGGGAGGATCATTATCCATCTATGTCGAATCATTTAACACGTTAAATAAGAGTAATTTGATGCGTTAAGCTTGTAATACGCGTCAAATAAGGTGTTGTGTATCACATGGCGCGGTCTCGTGTATCACGTGATCGCTTTGACCAATCAGAGCGAGAGGAGCAGAGCGCGGCCGGAGCTAACGATTGTAAAACGTTTTTTAAGACAGCTGAAGGATTTTGAGTTGAGAGAAAGTGTATGATCTAAAAGTAGGTAAAAATCGCCACAAAATGCG